AAATCACAATTGTTCTTGTAGGGAGTGGCAAGTCATCGGAAAGCCTTGTAGACATGCTTTGGCCTGGATATTGTCCAATAGAGGGATGAAAATAGAAGATTATGTGCATGAGTACTACTCAGTGGCTAAATTCAAGAAAGCTTATGAGGCAAGAGTTGAACCTATACCTGATAGATCCCAGTGGCCTGAAGTTGATCTTGGGTTTACAGTGCACCAACCATTATTGGGTAGAGGACCAGGGAGGCCAAAGGTGCAAAGGATTAGAGGATGCATGGAGAAAAGGGCTACCAAGAAAAAGGTGAGATGCAAAAGATGTGGAGGACTTGGCCACTTCCAAAAAAGCTGCAAAGAGCCAGAGGTTGGTCAAGATGGTGAAAGAGGTCCATGCAGGAACCATTGCAGAAAGAGGACCATAGAAGATGATGCAGGTACCTCACAACCACAGGTGAACAAAAAGAAGAAAAAGAAGACAACCACAGCCAAGAAAAAAACACCTGTGAAGAAGCTGAAAAGGGCAAAGGCAAACCCACCTCCCACTGCTGTGACTAGTATCACAAAGCTTGTCTTCGATCCATAGTCTACTTGACAAGGCTCAAAATGTTCTCTGATGCTTTTGGCAAAAAAAACTTGTAATGTCATGTAATGCTTTTGGGCACAAAAACTTCTCTGTGCCTCTGATCATTTTGGGCACATGAACTTGTAATGGTAGTCTATGCTGTTAATGGCCTCGAAACACTATGTAGTGAATGTTGATGGCCTGGGTAATACTTCCGTGAGATGCACTTGACTGATGGCATCAAATACTTATCTAATATATTTCTGTGAACTGGTCTATGTTAAATTAGGCATTATTTCTGTGAAATTCTCTAAGAACTTATTTCTGGATAGTTGGCATGCTGCTTGTTCATTTATTGCAGTGTTAAGTTTCGACAAACATGCTGCAGAAACTTGTTCATAAATTGCAAACAAACATAGCTCCAAGTACAGACCAAATGCTTACATTACCCACTCATCATGAGAGTGCACAAAAGCTACCCAAATTCTAAGCTAACACTATCTAACACAGGCTACATTACATGAGAATTCATTTCATCCATACAATAGCCACCAGGACAGTTACAAAGATTGCCAAGAAAACAACAGCTGCATTGTCCAAGACAATTGGACTCTTTTCCTTCTTAACCTCATCTTTCAGTTCTTTCACTTCAGTCTTCAGGCTGCCAATCTCCAATTTGATGTCACTGAGCAGCAACTTCAAATCAAGTGCCACCATCTCGAACCCTCCAACAGTAGTAGCAGCAGGCTGCTGGACAACTTGAACAGCACCAACTGGATTGTGCCCAGAAACAAAAGAACTCTCCAACAGATTGGCAGGATTATTGCGCAAATAGAGCTCATATGCATCCTCAAACCACCATTTACCACACCTATTTGAGCACATGTAGTAGAAGTTGTCATTCTTGCTCTTGCACTTGACGACGGGCACCAAGCACTGGGGGCAGTCCACGAGAAGGAGAGTCCTCCCCTGCTGTGATGAGCTGGAAGCCGTGGTGGCCATGGGCAAACGGCAGCGGTGGCTGGGCACAGCGGTGGAGCCGGCGGCTGTAGCACCTAACCCTAGCGGACGGGAAGGGAGGAGGCGAACAGAGCGCGGCGAGGAGGAAAGGGAGAGCCGGCGCCTGGTGGGCCTTATCCAATTGACCCAAGGGCATGGACGTCCATACGGAAATAGTGAGGCAGTGTACACACCTGCAGGTGGCCCCAAGACGTCGCTGAGCGTATCCCATGGCGTTGGTCCAAGTATCGCACAATTGTAATGGTATGGTTTGAATTAGTCGAATTGTAATGGTATATCTCCAATAACTGAAAATTGTAATGTTGCCAATAAAAAAACCCTTTTAACATCTATCTACGATTAAAAAACAATTACATTTGTTATAACAGGCCTCATTAGTTCACGCTTTGTGAACAGGCAACTCATTTCTTTTTATTTTCCTGTCGACGGATGTCAGTTTTTTAGAATCACACAAGTTAATGTGAGATTGCTATGTTTTTTTCTCTTAGGTTTTCTTATATATGAAACACTTTGGTGCACTGAGTGTTTGAATCTCATGGTTTTAGTCATTCAGATAGTTTGGTGCTAATTAAGGTATCAAAGGGTCTTCTTAGTATCCCTGTGCTTGTAGAATATATTCCCATTTTACCATTTGAAAAAATATGCTTATAATGTTTTTAGCAAAACCTAATATAAACATAAACGCTTGCATATAGCCCAAAGCTACGAATACCGTTTATTTACCGAAATAATGTTCAAAGTCACGTGCTTTCCACAAAAGGTACATGGCCACGGCACACGGCACACGGCACATGTACAAGTCAACTCGAGCGTTGTGTATTTAAGCTGCAGCGCACGGCACACAGGGTACGCATCGCACATCACCCTGATCTTCTTCTCTGCTCTCTCACACTTGGCCAAGAAGCCACGAATAATGGCGACCCGATCTCTTCCGCTGATCCCTGCGTGAGGCCTCCCCGTGGGCCGTGGCCGCTGCAGCGGTGGCCGCGGCGCTGCTGTGGCTGGCGGCCTCACCCTGTTCGCCATGGCTAATAAACTATGGTTGAAAGTATGGTTGGCTGATTTATCGTGAGAGAAAAATATTATTTATTGACTGAAAAGTAAAAGTTTATAAATCAAGCGAACGAGCCGCTGGACGCTGGACGCTGGAGTAGGCGTGGTGGACGCCGCGGCGGCTCGAGCGAGCCCTCCGGGCACAGGGCCTCAAAGGGCACCAGGTACCGCCTCTTCACCGGTGACATCACGGAGAGCGCCCAGCTGAACCGAGAAGCCCGCGCGAAGCCGCTGCCGGCCGGCTCCCACGACATCGTCCGCCGCGTGCAGCCCATGCTCTATGACACCGTGAAACAATATGGTAATACACGATGTATATGTAAACACCGCGAAAGAATATGGTATATATGCTATTTATCCGTGGCCACCCATGCAAAGACTGATGAAACTGGAGCTCAAAATTCAAATGCAGGAAAACTGTCCTTCACTTGGTTTGGTCCGACGCCGAGGGTGATGATTCCAGACCCAGCATTAGTGAGAGAGGTTTTGTCCAACAAGTTCGGCCACTTCCCCAAGCCCAAGAGTAGCCGTGTTGCCAACTTGATAGCCAACGGGATTGTCAGTCATGAAGGCGAGAAATGGGCAAAGCACCGGAGAATTCTGAATCCTGCTTTCCACCATGATAAACTAAAGGTGCTTGTTCAATTAACTTTTCATACATATATGGATATGGATGGTATCTCTGACTCTTGAGTGTTCTACTTACTGATGATGTTTCTTCATTTACAGCGGATGCTTCCTCTGTTCTCTGCTTGTTCCGTTGAAATGGTCACTAGATGGGAGAATCCCATGTCTTCTGAAGGTTCGTCTGAGATAGACGTCTGGCCTGAGTTCCAGAATCTTACTGGAGATGCCATCTCAAGAGCTGCGTTTGGTAGCAGCTATCAGGAGGGGAGAAGAATTTTCCAGTTGCAAGAGGAGCTAGCTGAATACATCTTACAACCTTTTCAAGCAAACATAATCCCAGGCTATTGGTTTGTTCTTTCTCCTTTAAACAGCGGATGAGTTCTTTTCTATAGGATGATGTTGCAAATCAAATCTGAGCATTTGCCAGACACCTATATATATTTAATTTCTAGTACATAAGAAGCTTTAATTAATTACTAATTCCTACCCATATTTGTAATAGACTTTTTAGAAGAAAAAAAAACAGAAAATTTGACCTTTCACTGCTCAAGAATATCTGACCTTTCATAGCAATTATCAATTTGTTCTGTGATAACGGGGTAAAACATATGCAGGTTCTTACCCACCAAAGGCAACAGGAGGATGAGAGAGATTGACGCGGAGGTTCGCAAAACTCTACGTGGAATAATCGAGAAAAGACAGAAGGCTATTAAAAACGGTGAAACTAGCAACGATGACTTGCTGGGCTTATTGTTAGAGTCAAACATGAGGGAATCAAACGGAGCATCGAGCCTAGGCATGACCACGGAGGACATGATTGAGGAATGCAAACTATTCTACTTCGCGGGCATGGAGACGACGTCTGTCCTTCTCACTTGGACACTGATCGTGCTAAGCATGAACCCTGAATGGCAGGAACGGGCAAGAGAAGAAGTCTTGACTCACTTTGCAAGATCTAACAAGCCAGATTATGACACCTTGAGCCGCATGAAGATTGTAAGTCCAAAGCCAATATATATTCTCTTTTGTAAGTCCAAAGCCAGGTATTGTTAACTGTGTTAATTACACTTCTTTTGCAGATAACCATGATTGTCAACGAGGTCCTGAGGTTATACCCGCCAGCGACCTTCGTGATGAGAAGAACCTACAAGGAAATGGAGCTCGGCGGCATCAGATACCCGGCAGGAGTGAACCTTATGCTGCCAATTCTCTTCATTCACCACGATCCCAGCATCTGGGGAGACGACGCGAGCGAGTTCAATCCAGCAAGGTTCGCCGACGGCGTTTCCAGCGCGACCAAGCTGCAAGGCGGCGGCGGCTTCTTTCCGTTCGGTTGGGGCCCCCGGATCTGCATCGGCCAGAACTTCGCGCTGCTGGAGGCCAAGATGGCACTCTGCACCATCCTCCAGCACTTCTCCTTTGAGCTCTCGCCGTCCTACACCCACGCGCCTTACACCATGATAACTCTGCATCCTCAGCACGGGGCACAAATCAAGCTGTCGAAGCTGTGACCATATGACTGACACTCATTGAGTGGCAACATCTATCTATATTTATATACGTGGTGCTAGCTTTTGCATGCTCTAGTATGTATAGAGTTTGAGATTTTACATGATGTTTGTTGCTTTGAAATGAATAAACGGAGTCTGTGGGTATATATTGAATGGAGAAATTGCGTGCTTAATGGAAGTACAAGAGGCGTGGTCAGTGACCACGGTCCTTGCTTGGGAAGCACTGATGGTATTCATAGCCTGCGCAGCCTGACCGGAACGCCGTGCTGCGGGTGCAGCGTGAGGACAGTGTAGGGCGCGTGCACGTACGCCGGCGACAGCTCGAACGCGAAGCGCTGTAGGATCATGCTGAGCGCCAGCTTGGCCTCCACGAGCGCGAAGTTCTGGCCGATGCAGACGCGCGGCCCCCAGCTGAAGGGGACGAAGGCGCCCGGGTCGCTGCACACCTTGGACACGCCGTCGGCGAACCTCCCCGGGTTGAACTCGCCGGCGTCGGACCCCCACAGGGCAGGGTCCCGGTGGAGGAACATCACGGGCGTCGTGAGCATGACTCCCGCCGGGTACGTGACGCCTCCCAGCTTCGTCGGCTGGTGTGTCCGGCGGTTCATGGCCACCACCGGAGGGTACAGACGTAGCACCTCGTACAGCACCATGGTCACCTGTCATGTTACCAAGAATACACAAGAATGGCATAACCGAAACCAATCATGTTAACAAGTGATGACGACAGGACTGTGCACTGGGATCGACTCACAACTTTTAGGCGTGACACGCCATTGAAATCCGGCTTGTTTTGACCAAAGACTTGCAGAGCTTCCTCCCTGGCACGATCCTGCCACTCCGGGTGCATGCTGAGCAGGACCATTGTCCATGTGAGCAGCACACCGGTAGTCTCCATACCTGCGAAGTAGAACACCTTGCACTCGCCGATCACCTCTTCCACGGTAATCCCCTTGCTGGATTTGCCATCCGAGTCACTGTAATTCATGTTCGACTCCAGTAGCAATCCCAGCAGGTCGTCCTTGGTTGCTTCACCATTCTTAAGAGCCTTCTGTCTCTTCTCTATTATGCCCCTCAGGATCGTCTTGACCTCCCTATCGACTGCATTCATCCTCCTATTGTTTTCTGTCGGCAAGAGACTGAAGAGTAGTATATACATAGTACATCATCAGCTACTTAATTTAAAAATGGATATTGTTTTCTTTTGTAAAACAAGAAACTTTTTTTTGATAAAACAATGGTACACAATTGGGTAGTAGTAGAGTTATAGCATTTGGAACCGTACGAGAAGCCAGGGATGTAATTTATCCTGAAAGATTGAACAAGGCGTTCAGCTTGCTCGGCCTGAAGTAGGAAAATTCTTCTCCCTTCTTCGTAACTAACACCGAATGCAGCTCTTGAAATTACGTCTCCTGATAGATTTTGGAACTCTGGCCACACATCCAGCTCGGTTGGTTCAACAGAAGCAGAAATCTGTTTCTCCCATCTGTCAACCAGTTCGCTGGAACAAGCCAAGAATGCTGGCAGCATTCCCTACAGCCATTTCCAAGTGAGGAGTTAGTAGGCCCAATTTTTTTTTTCTATTTTTCTTTGTAAGAAGCTTAATTCAACCTTGTTTAAGTGCTAACTTGTGCTTTTAAGAGCTAAGGACATCTCCAACAGTTTCTAAAAAAGGCTTGACAAATCAAAAAGTATTTCAAGTAGAAAAAAACAAGAAGCTTATCTGTTTTCTTAAACGAATCAGGTAGAAGAGTTGTTGATTATATTAAAGAGAAGAAATTTAGACGGGTAAACAACAAAACAACCAAAGAGCTTATACGTTCCATGTCTCCAATGGTTTTAAGTTACACCTAGAACCTTTGAAAACAGAATCTCCATTGTTGGTCTACCTCTAGTATTCTTAGATCTGAAAATATCGGCCAAAGATCAAATTCCAGTTAATCTTCTAGGTCCAGCATTCATTGCCTACCATTGTCGGCCATCCCTGGCACCCTAATTCACACACAGAACCAACAAAACAAAATCTTTATTGTCTGTTCTACTTCCAGGGAGATTAAATTCCTGTGACCCCGCCGTGGTCGGGGCGATGACAAGTGTCGAAGAAGAAAAAACCCCTCCCCAATAGGGAGTAGTGGTTGTCCGGGTATCTATACACGTGGATGCCTATGTTTTAAGCACGGATAGATTGGAAGTTAGCAAAAGGAGTTGTTAGAGGGAGATTTTTCTCCATCCTGCCAAAAAAACTAAGATTGAGAGTGGCTACACCAATTTATTCTTGTCTCCGTTTGACTTTTATACAAAGAGCTAGAAGTAAGTGATTATATTAAATGAACCCATCTCGCAATACTACTTCCGTCTCAAAATAGATCAAATACTAAAAATAACCTGAAGCCAAACTATCTCGAGTTTGACCAACATCAAATAAGTAGATCATGAAAATATATTTCGTAGGGTATCTAGTTATACTAATATGATGTCATAAATAATACTGGTGATATTTTCTATAAATTTAATTAAATTTAAAATAATTTCACTTAGGATAGCTCTTATTTGGGATGGAGAAAGGACACGAGAGGAGGTAAGAAAATTTATGATTCGCATTTGACTTTGCATTCGAAAACTGAAAACAATTCTGTTATGCATCACATATAAAATTTGAATCGAGGTTCATTTGTCTAAACAGTATAATAAGTACCTTTAGCTTCTCCGCGTGGAAGGCCGGATTAAGAATCCTCCGATGTTTGGCCCATTTTTCACCGTCAAGGACCACGAGCCCAGCAACCAGCACCTTTGAGAGAGGAGAGAGCATCGATTTCACGAAGTCGCCACACTTATTTGTCAACACTTCCCGGGCAAGCTCAGGGTCGGTGATTACAACTCTTGGGGTCGGCCCGAACCATGTGAACGAGAGCTTGCCTGCATTTTCCATGTCGAAATTGACGAAACAGACATGCAGATACGGCGAGACGAAACAGACATCCAGGAAGGTTCGTACCGTGCTCCTGGATGGCGTGGTGTAGGAGAGGCGCGACGCGAGGGAGGATGTCATGTGGTCGGTCCACGGAGACGGGCGTAGTTTTGGCCGCCGCGATGAGACGCTGGTCCTCCCTGAGGTCTCCCCAGAGGAGGCGGTACCGGGTGCCCCTCAGGCCCTGCGCCCTTAGGGCACGGTCCATGCGCCGGGGCACCCACCAGGCCCACTCCAGCACCTGCGCCGCCAACCACAGGAGCAGCACGGCCGCCGCCCCGCCTAGCACGCTCCACGGCGAGACCTCCCAGAGCACCCCCGCGCCATCTCCGTCCATGGCTAGCTCTAGCTCCTAGCTCGCCGTTCCTCTCTTGTGTGGAACTAATTAACAGCAATAGCGAAGCAGTGAGTGAACGTGTTCCTTACTTTGCACAGAGGGATTGAACCAGGACGGACATGAGTGTACGCAAGCGGTGGCAACGACAGATATTGTCGTCCGGTGATTGCGACGAGTGGCCAACACTACCCCCTGTTGGCCTTCCGGTTATCTTGCCTCTCCAGGTTTGGCATGTAGTGATTTGCCTGCGACGAGTGGCCAACACTACCCCCTGTTGGCATTCCGGTTATCTTGCCTCTCCGGGTTTGGCATGTAGTGATTTGCCTGCGAGCTGTGTGGTGTGGCACATGAATATGCTGACATGCAACCCACAGCCACAGGCAGGTTGACTGTTGAGTGTTGACACATGCGCAGGACTCCTTGTCCACAACGATGGCTACATTACATTCAATCCAATCAGACTCTGGCTACTCTCTCTGCCCACAGAAAATATAATTATACGAGTTAAACTAGTTTAACTTTAAACAAATTATAGTGAATACTATAACATTTATGTCACTATATTTACTACAAAAAATGTATTTTATAATTATTAATGGTACTCCTTCATCCCATAATAAATAAGTTCTTAAAAATATTCAGACAGATTAAAGACGCTAACAAAAGAGGCACTTTTCTTTTTCTAGAGGATATCTCTTGGATTGATAGTTATTGCTTGCATGCACCCATAATTAACTTCCATATTAAAAGAATTGTTTCATATTTGTATACAATGTTTTTTTTTTATTTTAAACCTTAGAAAGTTATTTATTTTGAAAAAGAGAGTATCTTCTACTACTTTTTTTTATCTATCTATGGTTAATATTTAAATCGTTTAACTCCTCGAGAAGTGTGAATTGCATCCTTTTTATAGATAGAGAGGATAGTATTTATGTAGATGCATGATTGCTATAGGATTTATGTAGACGCATGATTGATTTAGGATTTATTGACCACCACTTGTCATGCCGCAAGTCAGGCGTACACAGTTTTTTAGGCATGTGTTTGTTTCACTGCTACAACTATGGTACGTCACACTTTCTTAGCACCCTATCCCATATGTCATAGACTCATTTTCTTGCCAAGCTTTGTCACAATTATGGATTTATTTTTGCTCGCCATACTTTATGTGGCTGCCTAAGTTTACCAAAAGTTTGGCATGACAAGTTTATGCATGAACCAAATAGGCCCTTAGTGCCTAGGATGCACTCTACTATGGTCCCTCCATCCTAAAAAAGATACAATTCAAGAATAGTGCTATGTTAAAGTTGAATTGGGGGATGAACCATGTTGAGGGGGCATGAAAATGACAAAAAAAGCCAAGGGGTGCTTGAAATGGCCATGCATGTATGCGCCAAGTTTAAAATAAGCAGACCAAACTTGTCTATTCCGGTAGAACATAAATTGCAAAACCTTGGGATGTATCATGAAGTGCTCAATTTTTTGTCTACGAAGGTTGTGAACACATGGTGGATATGTGCCTATGTGTATGTGTGATGAGTGATTGTCAATATGTGATCAAAGCTCGGTTTAGTGTGTTGAGACTAATCATGGCGTGAGTTGTGTATGTGCAACATGTCACTTGTCTTGTGATGTGCAGGTGTTGAGTGTGAGACGGTCGACGACAATGGAGAAGGTTAAGCGAGTTCGTGCGTGATGGACCGGGAGCGGTGAAGGAAGGACATAGAGGCTTGGACCGAGGGACTAAGGCCCGGAGGATGGACTGTGTACGTCTAGCACTTGTGGACGTCGACAAGCAAGTGTACATGTGAGGAAGAAGACAACGTTGATCGAAGTCAAGATGACGGTCGAACCAAGTCAAGGAGAGGGTGGGAGCACTTGGTGATGGAGCGTCGAGGATGAGTGGGACACGCATCGACATCGTGGAGAAGGCGTAGTGGCCACACGACTCCAAGTGGGGTATGGCGATTTTGGCCTCAAAACCGTGGGCGGCAGGTTTGCCGAGTTTGGGCCTCAAAACCTAGGGAAGTATCTCGGGGCGGCACGTGGCGTCATCAGAGACTTTACATCAAGCCGAAAGTGTCTTCATGAAGAGCTCATGGCCATCCGATGCTCAGAATTCATTTTGGACCATTATGTCCCAGTGGCTAAGTGGTTCAAGGCAAATACCTAGTGTTTACACCAAAATTTGGAAGAAGGGTCTCAGGGGCTCGAGAGCTCCCAACATCATGTCAGTAGGGGATCAATTGCGTGCAGACTGAAAACAGCTGATTCGGATGCAGCTTTAGAATCGGCTTTCTTCAGATAGCGCCAGCAGATAACAACAGAGGCTACGATCAGCACTGGGATGAGACATGCTGGACTCTACAAAAAGGGAAAGATTAGAGTCCAAGTTATCTTAAATTAGGAATGTTTTCATTTATGCCAAAGATTATAACAAATCATGCTCGAGTAGGATTCATGTTTAGACTCCGGGTATAAATATCAAACCCGGCTATTGTAAGAAAGAACGAATCAATCAAATACAAGTCAATTACTTTTTTCGGCTCCGGCCACCCCTTAGGAGTAGGAGTAGAGTAGATCTCGACGAGTTCTTCAGCAAGTACGGCTGCATCGATCCGGTCGACCTCCACTGCGACTCTGGTATAAGTTAGTTATCGATTCTTGTCTAGTTCAAGTATGGTTGCATCGATCCGGTCGACCCCCACTGCATGAATTAGATCAAGGTCAAGTTATCGGCTCTACCTTAGAATGGCAGTGTTTGGTAGATTCATTAAGTTACCAATATTGCTTATTGCTTACATTGTTTATCTAATTACAGCAATATCACTCTGTCCGATTGGGATTGATTTGGATCGGCCTTATATCTTATTTAACCCATCGTTTGCCAATCTAGAACTGACCTAATCTACACCCTAAATGATGAGTTACGTTTTTATCGGCTGTTTTATATCAATCTTAATCGTGCATAGCGTGCGGCTAAGGCATGTTGCGTCTTGAGTAGATCCATTGACTAGCGAAAACCGTTCCATGTCCCGTTATCACGGCCTGTGTGATTCTGCCTCACACCCCACTGTTAGCACCGTGGAGTGGAGATCGTTATTTAGTAGATCTATTACTGGTAAGGCATGACCCTAACTGTGCGCTATGCCTGAATCAGCTGTTTTAACTAATATCGAATCTTTCACGAACAGTTCGCATCACGAGACCATTGAAGTAAAGATAGGTTGAAAGATGTGTTAGTCCCATGATCTTATTATTGTATTACTGCCTGCATGATTCTGCATCATGCCCCACTGATATTAGTAATGAGTTTGGATTGTCGAGTCTATTGTTGTTTCTACGGCCTGCATGATTCTGCCTCATGCCCCACTGGTCATGGTGATAGATGAGATCTAACATGTTCATTAGATTTATCTTTATTAAACGGTTAAATGGTATTGAATTGTTTCTTTATATAAAAGTGGTTCAGTTACTCGTAATCATTGGCTCAGTATAAACCAATCATTGTTGACATCTTATTGTCATTGATTAATATCTGTTCGATTAATGATATTTACCCTGAATGATAATCGATTCTTCTTATACAACCCAATGAGCTTTAATCGATTTATTCTAATGAATATGCTAGAATCGACTATTTAGTTGATCTCCTTTCATATCGGCTCTCATAGCCGTACATTCGGGACTGTCTGGCAACATCGGCAAGTTCCGCCCTTAATTACTGATGAACTTTCTCTCCTTGTCAATTACAGGGTCAAATTGACTGGCACGCCTCGGGAGGATTGTGCAGGATCGATCATCCCTGCATTGAAGCTAGGCGAATTTGCTCCATCGAGCGGACCCTTCTGACTTGCTGTGTGTGTCCTCATCACGGGACGAAAATTCTGTGTCGACACACGTTTCTGGCACGCCCGGTGGGACACCATGATCATCATGACTGCTCACAACAACGACGACATCCTTATGGTACATTATGAAAATCAACCTGATAAAGATAAAGATGTCATCGGCAAAGCTACGAAAGAATTTCAGAAGAAGTGTTTGTTGTCCTACACCAAAACACGTGACAACACAATTGTTCAGAAATTTTCACTACCAAGAGTTCTACTACACGGACAGACAGATACAGTCGAAGCTGAAGACAGGCGTTTCTTTACGGAAGCCATAGACAAATTTGTTCGTGATGCCATATCAAGCCATAATGAAGCCTTCGTGGACGCATTTCACAATGCCATGAAAGAGGCAATTCATGGGATTCCAGTTGGTCAGGTTGGATCGACTCGTTACAACATTCCAGATCCGTCAACCCAAGGTACAAATCAAGTCGGTACCAGCCATCAAGAAGCAGCACCAGCTGGTAATGATGACATCCAGACAATTCAAGGTTCATCTGAACCAACTCAAGGAACTACTATGAATCAGATACAGTACAATCCTGGACCGTCAATATAGCATGTGCAACAGCCGGCGGGGCAAAGTCAGAACCAGATGATCAATTTTGGCACATCAGGCCACATACTATCGTCGGCTCAAAAAATAGCACCATCAATTCAAAGGATCCGTAGAGATATAGATTCTTATGTCTATAATCAGAGACTTCAAGCAGCA